AGAATGGACTGTGAATTAGTTCTTGGTTGTATTTGGATTAAGTAGCAACTTTCCTTTGTTATTCTGTACATTGCTGAATTTGAACTTCTTGGAAACTGCACATTTATTGTCACCCAATGATATTGTTGAGGATGTTTCTTTTTAATTCTAGTAGTTCCAGTTATCTAGAGGCTGGACATATCTTCCTAAGTTTGTCTTTTCATTGCATGGATGAAGGTTCTCAGAATTCATATTCTGAGAGCCACCATCTCATTGGAAATTAAAAGAACAAACTCTAAACATGTCTAATTTTCCTGGCCTGTTCCCAGTGGCTTTTCTTGAGCAACTTGAAAACCACTGAGATCTTATTCTCATGTGCTTGTGGTGAGGACTCTTGCCTCAGGATCATACTTTATGATTTTTTTCTCTTCCCAAGCAAGTGATGCCTAGTACGTTTTGGAAAATATACCCTCATATCAAAGATTCTATTTGTGGTCAAGGATTACAGAAATGGTTCCTTTACTTTTACCTTCTTTCCTAGTAGACAAGTCTTTCTAAATGTTCTATTCCATTTCCTCAACCTTTTCAGTAACCTCCCTTCAACTCCCGCCCCTAGCTTTTTTAACTTTCCCCAGGAATAGCAGCATTCTCTGTGATCCCTTCTACCGTACCACCATTTGGGCACCTGTAGGTAAACCCTTCCAGGTAAATCATGGACTCAGCTGGACTCCAAGTCTCTCTCTGAGGTCTTTAAACCCACTTAAAGCACTGAAGGGAATTGGGTGCCACCTTTTTAGAGCACATCTGATTTTCAGTCATTTCCCATGCTTTCCTGGTCATTTGGAAACTGCTCCTGGGCTAGGCTGACAAAAGCTTATTTTCTAGCTTTGGACTCTATTTCAGTTCAAGTTCCCTTATTTTCTGGTTTCAGTAAAGGGCATCTAATGCCATGCTTTGCAGATTATGTTCTTTGAATATCATTTTCCTTATCTGTAAATGGAAATGATTACCTACATGAAATTCAAGTAAGAAACTAAGACCTAGAGATACTGTGAAATAATTTGCCCTCCTTGGCAGCCTCCCTCTTGTTCTGGCTTTTTGTAAAACCCAGCATGACCCTGAAAGAAAATGTTGAGGTGCTGCTGAGAGCAATGTGAAGTAAAAGTAAAAAGCCTTCAGATTTTAGAGCTCTACCTTTAGTCGGGTGACCCAGTTTGTACAAAGTGAACTCAGGTAAGTAATCTTATTTAATCTTTACCACAGCCCTACAGGTGTAGGGACGATTACCTCCATTATGCAGAGAAAAAAAAAAAAAGCTGAGGCTTAAGAGTCCAAGTAGCTGGCTTAAGGTAAAGATAAAAATCCCCAAATCTAAAGCATTTTCAGGAAGATTTCGTGCAAAATGTTTCATGAGTTGCTGACAACTGTGGTGTGAGCATTTTTCATTTAACGCAGTGGTCCTCTAATTCCTGGGCATGCCAATCAAAAGATTTCAGCAGCATTTCCTAATATAATACAGTTCATTTTTATTCTCGAACTGTCATGACCATGAAGGACTTGGGCTAGATTAAGGCACCATGTCTTCTTTCAAAATTGATTTGTGGACTCAAATTGGGCACCAAAGTGCTCTGACCAGCAAATGGAACGTCAAAGTTGGCTGAAACTGTGGTTGAACCAGGAGTTTTACTTAGGTTTTTAATTTCTTCTTTGAGACCAAGCATGAGCAGATATTGGCCCAGCCAGACCACCGTTGACTTTTTGAGGAATTAGTCTTTCCAGAACCATGGAAACTTTCCTCTACTTGTAGTCTCTTAGTATGTAATTTGCTTTATCCTAGAAAGAAAATAAAAAATGGGAGACAGGCATCATCTATTTTATTACTATGTGATGCCCTTTCTTTTTCCTGGACCACATTTCAGCCCCCAGCTGCTTTCCCGTTCTGACCCTCTAATTTCTATTGCTTTTTCGCATCTTACCAAAAAAACTATTTAAATCAGTCCACTGACCGTATGAGTCTTAACTCTGAATCCAGTTTCTGTAACTTAACCCTGTGAGTGATAACTGCTAAAGGTATCCTAATTGAGAAGAGGGTTGCTCTTCCAGGGATGTGTGCAGGAAATTTCATTTGCTGCCAGATCCCAGACCTGGGGATCCCATTTGCTTCTCCACCTCCCCTCGTCTGAGTGGGCTCACCTCAGCTTCTCCCTTTACATCAGGGACTTTCAGCCTCAGCACTGTTGACATTTGGGGCTGAATAACCGGGGGGGCGGGGGGCGCTGTCCTGTGCATTGTCCCTGTGCTCCGCCTACCAGACATCAGTTGTACACACACACACACACACACACACACACACATATTTGTGACAATCCAAAATGCCTTGACACATTGCCAATTGTACCCTGGGGGACAAAATTGCCTGTGATTGAGAACCACTGCTTTTTTTTTTAATAACATTTTTTTTATTCAAACAAAGTCACAAAAATTATAATCATCCTCATCAGTTCACTCAGTCCCATGTAATTAATTTTTTTGTCATCTTGATCTTTTGTTAGCACTTTTATGAATTCATCAGTTTTCCATTAGAGTTCTGAAAATGCTTATTCATTCAGTTCAGCAGTATAGTCAGTTACCAGAAACCTGTACTTGTCAGAGTCTTCCATGAATTCCTTGAAGATGAAACCCTTTTACAGGAACATTTTTGCAAAAGCATCAGAGTACACCCAGAACTGTCTGTAAAGGATAAAAGACTTAAAAATGACCACGGTTAAAGATTTGATGAACGTTCATAATAATGCAATTGACAAGGAAATTTAGTTATTTCTGAGATATACATTTTAAAGTAATAACTAGAATTATGACTTATAACATTATACCAGAACATATAAGATTTTTAGGAATTTCATGTAATGTCTGAAACATTTATATTAACATATTTCCATACAAATAACCCAAAGAAACTTTAGTGTTAGTTTTTTGGAGAACCACTGCTTTTGTAAAAGTATTTTAATTTTACTGTAGTGTAGTTGATTTACAATGTGTTAGTTTCAGGTGTACAACAAAGTGAGAACCGCCGCTTTAGAACATTGGAGTTTATTAGATAAACATTAGACCAAGCCCTCACTTAGGCAGTCGACTTGAGCAAGTTGGACATACTAGACATTCTATGGGCAAGTGACAGAAAAACACTTTTAAATGGCTGAAATAACCGTCTATGAGCACTCGAGTTAAGCATGCTACTAAATGTTTTACCTACAGTCGCATTTAATACTTAAACCTCTGTGGGAGAAGTAGCACCCCGTCTCACAGGTAAGAAGACCACCTCGGATGAATGAACTTGCCAAGGTCACACAGTGAGGGGCAGAACTGGCATTCAGCCCAGTTGGTGGGATTCTGACACCTACGTTCTTCACCCCTGCTCTGTACTGATTCCTTGCCCACTGGTAGCTTACATTCTAACTGAGACGCCACAGTCAGTATTCCTGAGCCTCAGGCCCCCTTCTTAAAAAGCTGTCTCTCGGGGCTTCCCTGGTGGCGCAGTGGTTGAGAGTCCGCCTGCCGATGCAGGGGACGCGGGTTCGTGCCCCGGTCCGGGAAGATGCCACATGCCGCTGAGCGGCTGGGCCCGTGAGCCATGGCCGCTGAGCCTGCGCGTCCGGAGCCTGTGCTCCGCAATGGGAGAGGCCACAACAGTGAGAGGCCCGCATACCACGGAAAAAAAAAAAAAAAACAAACTGTCTCTCACACCTTCCAGGTCCTCTAGAGGTCTCTCTGCTGCCAGGCCCCAGAACACTCTTCTCCAAGGACAGGCTTTATAGCTATCCAGGCCCTCCCTCTACTGCACTTGCCACCAAGGACACACTGTCCATAAACCTGGCAGCTCCATCAAGTTGCCTCAGAATCTATCTGGTGAAAGATACTATGTTTGTGGAACAAGCAATGCAGAAGTAAGCTGCCTAAGAATCCATGTTCCGGGTGCCAAGAATTTCTCTGAAGACTTAGGACATCTGCAGCCCTCTGGGAAGTGTCATTTTTCTGTGGTTTTCCCATCTGACCCCGGTTCCGTGAAGGAAGCCTCACGTGCAGGCCTCAGGAGGGGTTGGAGGATGCTGTCTTACCTTTACAGGGCTTTGAGAGACATCCTTAGATGCATTTGCTCCCCATCATCAAAAGATGGAAAAAGCCACCTAAGTGTGAGACCTTGTTCCTCTGGCAGATCTGCACCCAGCCTCTTGGGCGCGCTGTGCAGTGCCGAGGTCATCTGGAGCTCACGCTGAGACATCTTCATGCTCTAGGGCATGATATTAACACTGGTTTGATCCAGCAAAGCTCCCCAATAGATTTGTCACTGTATCACTTAGACCTTGAAGAAATCACTAGCTCATCTACGAAGAGACCAGAAACCATCGATGAGGGAGTGCCTTCCAGACCTTTCCACCTAAGAGCGAACACCCTTGAGCTGGCGCTGCTAATTCTACGTGAACATGAGAGTTGCCTGGGAGCCTTTTTAGACGCAGGTGCTGGACCTCACCCTTGAGGTCCTGATTCAGCTGGTGAGGATGGGCCAGGCGAGGCTGTGTGGAGGAGGTGAGGATGAGGGCATTACACTCTCCCAAGCTGGCCTTGTTAAGCCGCAATCCCGAAATTTCTTTGAAGCCTTGTGGTTAATCTTTTTTTTAAAAAAAAAATTTGTTTATTTGGCTGTGCCGGGTCTTAGTTGCGGCATGTGGGATCTAGCTCCCTGACCAGGGATCAGACCCAGGCCCCCCGGCACTGGGAGCGCGGCGTCTTACCCACTGGACCCCCAGGGAAGTCCCTTTGTGTTTACTCTTGATCCATGAAAAATCTGCATTTTCCAAACATCCATATAGGATATTAAAATACCTTAAATTAGGGCTTCCCTGGTGGCGCAGTGGTTGAGAGTCCACCTGCCGATGCAGGGGACACGGGTTCGTGCCCCGGTTCGGGAAGATCCCACATGCCGTGGAGCGGCTGGGCCCGTGAGCCATGGCCACTGAGCCTGCACGTCCGGAGCCTGTGCTCCGCAACGGGAGAGGCCACAGCAGTGAGAGCCCCGTGTACCGCAAAAAAAAAAATACCTTAAATTACTAAACTTCCCCCATACACTTCCAAGAGTAAAATCGATGAGCCTGGAAGCTATTTATCACATCTCACATACTTTCATTTGAGGCAGGTGGCATCCAGGTCTTTGAGACCCCTTCAACGCGCTCACTGTCTGCAAAGCCGTGTCATGAGAGAGATTTACAGCTGTTGGCCACCTTCCTTGGGCTTCTGGGAACCCCTTCCTCATTTGAAAGTGCCTGGACTTCCCCCCGGCTAGGTTCTTGAGGGCTTCATAGGCTGCACAGGTAAAAGAGGAACAAGAAGTTCTGCTTGAGTAACAAACATCATATTTTGACCAGGAAAGATGACACAAATGGGGGAAACCTTGACAGCACAGCCGGGGATGCTGAGGCCGGAACCAGGGAGAGAGGCCTCTTGCTCTCAGAGTCCTCACATCCGGGGGCTTCTGATGCCTCACTTAAATGCCTCACTTTCTTTCCAATAATATAAGAACAAGTTCCTTATATTTTTATCTTTGACCCTTCTGCCAGTCCCAGAGGCAGGGCAGTGACCCCGTTTTGCAGAGGAGGGGGAAATGGGACTCAGCAAGGCTTCCAGAACTGGAAACCAGGAGGCTCTGAGGCGAGGGCAACGCTCGGGGAAGCTGAGCCCAGGCTGCCCATTTGGTTGGAACAACCTCCCACGGTGCCGACCCGAAGCCTTCCTTCCCTCAGTTTGCAGCATCTAAAGCTGGCTGGCTGGATTCACAGCCAGCTTTAATTATCGTAAAACAGAGTCCCTGGGTGGGAAATATTTTATTCATAAAAAGTACCTCTCTATTCCACGGCGTTCATAGCAAGCAGACTCTCCTGGACATCTGTGCATCCATTATTCCATGTCACCAAGCATGTGCGGGCCCTGCAGGGAGAGGTGGGTCACACACGGCGTCCTGTCGCCTGCAGGGCCCCCTTGGCAGGTACGAGCAGCGTGGGGCCTCTCTTAGGGTGGACTCCATCCTACACCACTGCCCTCCCACCATCCCCAGAGACACCCTGTGTTTTCACATCCTGGAGGCCTTACAAGGGCCTGGAGGGGACCCCCATCCTGCCTAGGACACGGCAGGACGGGCCTGAGGACGGCCCTGTTCAGGGTTGCGAGGGGGGCTCGGCAGAGTCCTCAGCTCCCAAAACGAAGCCGGGCAGGGGGCTGGCCACGTGGAGGTATCAGCACACAGGGAGCCCAGCCAGCCTGCGCAAACCCTGAGGGAGTCCAGAGTGGGATCCGTGTGCCATTTCACAAAAGGGGGAGGTGACGAGGAGAGAAAAAACTGAGACTCACCAGGCAGAGACGTCAGAGAAAAAGATGACCTTTGGCCCAGCAGTCCAGATACTTGACTGGAGGGTCAAATAAAGAGAGCAGCTAGGTTCCATCGGGTTTCTGGCCCGGGCTGGGGCTTCTGGTGAGGGCAGGGGGATGACTGGTCTCACCTGCAGCCCATTCTGCCTGGGCCCATTGGACCTGTCCAGGCAGAGGGATGAGGCTTGCAAGGGTGGCAGCTGAAAACCCTGGGCCAGGATGAATCCTCAGGAAAAGTGCTTCCACTCCCTTCCCTTGCCCACGCCCCTCCCACTAACATGTGTCAGCTGGACCCAGCTACTGGCTTGGGGAAAAAAGACAGAAAACAGGTTCTGTCCTGCTAACCAGGTCTTCCCCTCCCACTCAGATCTCCCCTAGAGTTTAGGAAACAGGACTTCAGTGCATTCTTCTAATGCTGGCTAAATTCCTTCCTCTGGGCAGCCAAGGGCACAAACGAGAAAAGGAGTAGGAAGGGTTTAATATAGCACACAACTGGCCAACGTGCACTGCCAACATAGGCTATTACAAACCAAAAAATCCAGGTGGTGCAATTTGTTGCAACTGTCTTTGGCGCGGACTCGGGTGTGGTGCGTATTTGTAAGAGCACACATGTTCCCTGGGTGGAACGGAAATAAACCCGGTGCAAATTCTGCTGCAGGCGCTGGGACCATTGCAGGGTATGGTTGCAATTCAGACTGCAGCGCGCTTTGGTGTCCAAGTAAAATGTGGTTTTCATCCACTCCTGGCCTCATGCCCCCTCAGGTGATGTGTAGTCATCGGGTGCTGTTGGAATCAGCTGTTTCTAGGAACCGGAACCTAAGACGGCCATAAAAGGAAGCTACTTCCTGGGGCTGTTCTTCAAGGCATGTTGGACGGATTCTGGAGATGGCTGTCACAGGCCAGTCTCCTGACTGCAAATAAACACTTTACTGGAGACCCACGTCCCTCATGCACAGTCTCTCCTGAGACTTTCGAGAGGGCCAATGTCATGAATTCAGAGCACTTATTTACAAAGGACGTTTTTAATCACTTAATTAGTTACTATGTCTGTTACAACAAGAGAACAGTGAGCCATCTTGGATGAGGGTGCTGGACCATCCACTAGATTCATTCAGTAGCAAGTGAGTAACGCAGGTCTGTGCCCCTACGAAATGGAAAATACACCCGTCAAGGACCTTCTGGGAATGGCTAAAATGCCAATTGTACAAATGCCAAGGATCCATAATAGTCTTGTCCTCAAACCAAGGGTCTTGATTTGGGCTGAGAACAGAGTGGCTACACCGGCAGACACCTTCTTTTCCCTTGCCTTGGAAGGAAGAAATGTACCTTCTAGGGAGGCACTGGAATCGGCCGATCTTTGTGTTGGAGTGATGCTTTGGGTATCAAAACACTTCACAGCTATTACCTTCCTGTTTGAGGTCAAGAAGGCAGATCTTGGATGGATGAGAAAAGCACCAGGATGTGAAAAGACATTTTGCTCAAAATCACATAATTATTAGTTAGCTGAAGTTGGGATTAGAAACTCCAGTCTTCAACATCCTGCTTCCTCTGCCTCTGCCTCTTTGTTACCTGGCTCTATTCCACCACCACCCCCACACTCGACACCCTCCCCTGGATAGTTCAGTCAAAGAAAGCCACCTATCCTAGATAGATGCCTAAATTCCACCATTAGAGCTTCATCTCTTTTGCTTAAGACATGAGTGTGAATTAAAGTGCAGATGCTCCCGGGAGCATTTGTGGCGGGAGAGGCCACAACGGTGAGAGGCACGCGTACCGCAAAAAAAAATAAATAAATAAAAGTAGAGCCAGAACCTTGCTCTAAGGTGTCCCTGGTCAGGGCTGTGCTTGGTGGGTCAAGGCTCTGCAGAAAGGAGGAGCGGGGGCGGAAAGAGTGAGCAAGCGACCACCTAGGGCCCCAGGCAGTGAGTGGGGAATGCAGACAGGTCGCCGCTGTCTGCAGTCTGGCCATTGCAGTCTCGGCACCATCCCTTGGGCCCGTCTAGAAGGGGGCAGCTGCCCACCGGGCTGACAGAGCAGCCTCTGCATCTGGATCACCGCTGGAGCCATTGGGACCTCATGAGAACTGTGTCTTCAATGCCGGTGTTTGCTGGCCAGTGAGGGGGAGGTGACTGTTCCCCTTTCTGGCGCACAGTTACACCGATATTCAGATTTTTCTTCTCCCCACATCCATCTGTAGGCTCCATGCCCCACCATGAGGAGGCTGAAAGGTCAGATTGCTCCATGCTGCTGTTACCTTTGAGGGCTTTTGTTATTGCTTTGTTGTTCTTTAAATATAAAAGCCCAACGGAGGAGGAGATCGCTGCTATGGGCTGACACTTTGATCTGCCATGTGGTAGACATGGGGTATATGCTGCTGTCATCCTGAAAGCGCTTCCTCTTACCGTCTCATTTGGTTCTCCTGAGTGGAGTGAATAAGGAGATATAATTATCACCATTTTACAGATGGAAAAACTGAGGCTCAGAGCACTAAACTGACTTTCCCCAGGCAGAGCAGGGGAGCAGGGTTTGCATCCAGGTCTGAGTCCAAAACCCTGACTAGGTTTCCAGGATGACTCCAGGCGGGATGTGTACGGACCAGCAGCCTCTCACCCCCACCCAGAGCAAGGAAGAGACTGGACCAGCCCCTCCAGCCTCGGCCTCCCTCTGTCTCACTTGGGCCCTTAGGCCTGGCAACCCCTCTGTGGTTCTTCCGCTCTTTGCCTGGGGGTGGAAATAGGCTTCCATCTACCTACAGTGCCCACTATGTGCTCCGTCCTCACCCCACCCAGCAGTGCAGTCTCCATGGAGACCCACGGGAGCCCCAAGGCCCTACTGCATGAATAGCCCTTCCAGAGAAGCTTTTATCACCATTTCTTCTTATATGTTTATTAGTTTATTGTCCAACATGCAATCGGCACTCTGATATTTATTTGTGCGTGGATGAGTGAATGAGTTAATGCCTCTTACCCTCAGATGCCCCCAGGAACACCAGGATAGGATTCTCTGTGATTACCTCTCAGTGGAATGGCCCACAGGGGGTTTCTGGAATTTAGTCACATTGGGTCAGCACATAATAAGGATACAAGGGAGCAGCCAATTTCCGGCACTTCACACACATTCGCTTCATCCTCGTGACCATCTGCACTGAGCACCCTCATCACCCCATTTCACGGATCAAGGAACTGAGGCTCAGTGCAGGGCCCAAGGAGCTGGACCCAGGTCCCCCTGGCTGTCTCCACACCAGTCCCTTCTGGGCACCAAGTTGTAGGTAAAGGAGGCTCCTTAATTCACCCTAAACCTCGGGCCCCTCGAGGAAGAGGGCTAGAGAAGGAAGAAGACCGGGGCTACCATTTCCCCCACCAGGGCAGCACCAGCCCAGGTGCACTGGGGGCTGGGAAGGAGCCCAGGGCAGCCTGTTCCCTTCTCCCTGTAGGCTGCATGCTTGGGGCTGGAATCTTAATACTTTTCACTGGCAGCCAATGTAGGCAGGTGCGGAAAAGCGATAGTACAGTGGACCTTCCCTCAGAAGCACACAGCCTGTATGTACGTGGATGTGACTGGGGTCCAATATAAGACACTGACTCTTTATGGCCCAGCCTGTGCTAGAAATCCTGCCATTGAAACTGCATCCCTTGATGTGTTACTGCTTCCGGATTTCAAGCATCCCCTAGAAAAATAGGTGTGAAAAAAAAAAAGCTGGATGTGACTATGTGTGGGAGGGAGCCTCGGGGCAGAGGGAGACGGGAAGGCTCCATGCTGTGCCAGGCTTGCCAGCAGATGTGGGTGCTGGATTCAGCCTCCAGCCCCTGCCCTTAATGCTGAGGGGGTGGAGGGGACAGAGGAGCAGCTTGCGGCCTGCCCCCCCCAGGGCTCCCAGCTCCCTTCTCGCATCTCCCCTGCACTGGCCACAGCTTCCTCCACCCTCCCTCTCCCAGCACCCTCCTAGCCGCTCAGCTCCTGCCACGGCCCCCCTCCTCTCGCAGGTCAGCTCAGCCCCTCCACCCTCACGGACCCACCGCTTCACTGACCCGGCAGCAAGAGCCTTCACCCAGCAAGACACACCCTTCTTAGAAGGCAGCAAGAGAAGGAGAAATCGTAAGACTTTTTTGGTCCTGTTGCACCTATATTATCTTCTGGAAGACTTGAGGTCAAAAGCTAGTGTGTGGCCACGCAGGCAATCCATCAGATCTCTCAGCCATCAGAGCCTGAGCTACCCACTCCCGTGTCCTCAGGGCGAAGCCAGTAGACAGGCTACAGGGCCCTGCTTCCCGCTTCCCGCTCCCCGCCCCCTGCCCCAGGCAGCCAGGCAGTCCTGAGTGCTGTTTCCAGATCCTCCCTTTCCAGAGGTGCTTGCGAAACCTCAGGCAAAGGAATCCACCGCTGAAGGCGACGTCAGGGCAGCGTGGCAGGCTAGGGGTGTCACTGGCGTTCAGGGGGACACTTGTCTTCACTGCGAGGAAGGTGACAGGGCAGAGGTGGGCCTCACTCACCTTCAGAGTGTGTTCCCTCAGGCTGTGGTCATTTTTACAGTCCAGAGCCTCCCCAGACCAGCAGCGTCACCTTGGAACCTGCAAATTCTCACATCCCATCCCAGACCTCCTGAGCCAGACCCCCTGGGGTGGACCCAGCGCCCTGTGTGTTTACCAGCCGCCCGTGATTCTGAGGCTCGTGAAGTCTGAGGTCAGCCATCCTCGAGCTTCTGTGCGACCCACGCTTCCCCGGGGCAAAAAAGCTGTTCACACTTCCACACAAGTTCTGATGATCTTGTTTTATCTAGGTACTATTACCATATTATGTACAAAAAATCATATTATGTACAAAGTAAAGCATCCAAAAAAGAAGATTCTGAAGGACAAGATAAAGATGAAATTAAGAATATTTTTGAATGTCTTCTTGTTCTCTCATGGCACAGTATCCACTGGAGGCAACATTCACCATGAATGACTAAGGATGTAAAGTCGTGTAGGTTTCTGGACAATTTCAATTCTGACCAACTCTCTGTCAGATATGTTTAAAGCACATGGCTGACAGCGAGCTCCTACCAGGGCTCGGGGAAGGGGCAGCTGTGCCACCTGGGGCCGCTCACCGTGATTTCCATGTTAGTGTCAGCTCCGGTCCAAGGTTCCTTTCAACGATTTTTTTTTTTTTTTTTTTGCGGTACGCCGGCCTCTCACCGCTGTGGCCTCTCCCGC